TTAATATCTTGTTGGAGCTTCGTTAAATCTGCCTACTTGTGTCTAGGTTTCGATCCGGCGTTCAGCGTCTGCCACCTGCCTTTCCTCCTGCTCAATTGGATCACCCGGTGCATCATCTGGCCCATTCACTACCTCCACGGATTTCCTTCTCACGGAGTTCCCTCCCGAGCTCCCATGGTCCCGCTCTAATCGTAAGCCAACTAGTCTAACTCAGTTTTGATGTGTTTCTCCCGCTTCCCGGCTCCCTAGTAATCTTCTCCCCTTTCTGTTGCAGCCTCCCACGGTCCCGATTCCGGCTTCCTCACGTCATTGTTTCCCCGGGTTTTTTTAGTTCCTCGTTTTGCTCCTCTGGTTTTCCCGGGTCGCCTTTTGTTGTTATAATAAAGTGTCATTTTCTGCTAGCGCTTGAGTCTGCGTTTGGACCCTTTTGTGCACGTGCGCCGCGGCGCATGACACTGACAGTCTTGCAGTGAAACAGGGGCCCGCATGCAATTCTCCACTTTGGCCACTGTATTGTTGGGTGTTCAGAGACAAAGACTTTAAGCTGATTTGAGGTTGATTTTTTCTTTTCTCCACTTGATGGCAGCAAATATTTGCTCAACACTGACCCACCTCCATGACTGCTCTGTTGCTACCACAGACTGAAGATGTGTACTGTGAGGATGGTGTTGGTGCACTGCTAACTTTAAAAGATTTTCATCTTTCTGGAGTCAGTGCAGAGTTTCAAGTTTACTAACACTTCAGTAAATGCTTCAGTTTTTTCTTCTTGAAGAGATTTAAAAAAATTTAAACAGAGAAAACTAACTTTATTTGGCATGATTACTGATAAAGATCAAGAAAAGTTAGAGAGGACAGGGAATGAACTCTAAATCTAGGGATTATTAGACACCACCAGAAGGCAGCAGGTTCTGTAGCAGGAGTAACTGTATTGTAAGTGTAAGTGTAAGTGTTTTAAAATGTGAAAGTATAGGCAAACGTTTAACATCTCTAAAACCTTCTCCTTCTCTTGGCATGAGCTTGCTTGGGGTCAAGGGTTTTTCCAGGTCCAGGATAAAAGAAGTTTCATGAAAAGGAGACAAGTTTTAGATCCAAATCCAAAGTGACTGCTGATAATGGTGAGAGAGAATTGACAGGTGAGTTTGAGCTTACTTTGAACATCCATAGGGGAAGTGTTGCAAAGGGGAGGAACAGGGCACAAGCTGACAGTCCAGGGCAGTGTCACTGTTGAAGGGTGAGAAGGCAGGTGGATCGGCTGAAGTAAGTGATCCATGTTCGGCTTGCTTATCTTTACAATGAGGATAGACGGCAAGATTCTCTTCAGCCATCAGGAGGAAACTGGGAACAAGATGCTGCATCCACAGAAGTAGTTATATGTTACAAATAAAGTTCAGATGTTACTCATTTTATTGACTGATTGATTGACTGATAATATTTTATTTATCTCGAGGGAATTTGTTTTAAAGATGATCTGGAGTCTTTAGAGGATGATTTAAAAATATAGTCAATATGTGTGAAATAGACAATAGACAGTTACAATTGGTCAGAATTAGATGATGAATCTTTACATTAATTAACTATAAAATAAAAAGCTATGCCAGTTTCTAGCTTTGCTTAACATTGTATAGAAAAGACCTGATGACACAAAATCTTTAAGTGTAAAAGTTAAACTCATCTAAAGTCTGAGGGCTCAAGGCTGGCAAGAAACACAGTCGACTGAATCCCAAAACAGCTGAAAGCCTGTGGTTATAACAATAAACATAGCAGGTTTTTTTGTTTGTTTTATTTAACAAGCTGAGCAGCTGATAAAACCCCACAAAGGTTAAAAAAAATCACAGCTTGTTCTCTACTACTACTTTTCTTTCCTTATTTGTTTGAGGACTTCTCCAAAATGTATGTTGATCACCAGAGATGGGCAGTAACGCGTTACGCGTTACTTGTAACGCGTTACTGTAATCCGATTACTTTTTTCAAGTAACTAGTAAAGTAAGGGATTACTATTGCAAAAACGGTAATTAGATTACCGTTACTTTCCCGTAGGAACGCTGCGTTACTGCGTTACTAAAACCGTGATTTTTTTGCCAGAATGTCTCATGACAGTGACGTAAGCGAGTGCGACGTTCGTGACAACAGCTGTGTGCAGATCAACAATGGATCACATATCGAGTGCGGGAGAGAGTATGAGCGTGCAGCGTTTAAAGTGTGGAAGTACTGACCTTACTTTGAGTTTGATTCCATAAAAAGTGACAAAAACATTAGCGTCCATTAGCATTGTGCGTGGGAAGAAAACATCTTTTTACAGCGAAAAAAAACCCTAAACTTCCAAGCAAGCTCCGAGTGCGCAACGACGTAATGGGAAACTCACAGAGAAACTGCCGTATCCTTCCACTGACCGCTGCGGCACACCTGCACCAGGGTAAACCTCCGCCTACCCAACTCCTGCTGTACAGGTGAAAATAGAGCAACAGGACCGCTGAGTCTTTGACTTTATTTATTTTCTGCTGTGTTCTACTTGCATCTATTTGAAAGACTGAGTGTAAACACAAAAAAAAAAAAAATTGTGTTGGAATGTGCAGAAAATAGGTTTAAATATTAAACAAATTTCTTCCAGTCAGAGAATGTTGCATATAATTAAAATTTTGCTTGATGCATAAAGTTAAAAGATTAAAATTAATAAAACTATAAAAGTTTTAAAAAGAGACTTTTCCATTTGATTACATTTTGTATGATGGATTATGCAGAAAAAGTAGAATTGGGCTGAAAGATCTATCACTTTATCACCTACTCAGGTTGTGAATCGTGTTTTTAAAAAGTAACTAAGTAACTAAGTAATTAATTACTTTTGAAAATAAGTAATCAGTAAAGTAACGGGATTACTTTTGGGGGGAAGTAATCAGTAATTAGTTACTGATTACTTTTTTCAAGTAACTTGACCAACACTGTTGATCACAATTACTAATAGTCTGGTATGATGAGTGTCTTTGGAAGAGAATATCTGCAGGATAATCTACTTGGACGAGGCAGAGAAACTAAACAAACCTGCGCCCATCATGACAAATACATGCTAAATGTGCAAAACTATTAGGTCACATCTCTTAAACTTGGTGTTGGCGTTTTCGGTCGCATTGCCACAGATTCAGAGCACACACCATTCATGCATGATGCTGTAACAGGATGCACCACTGCAATAAATCAGTTCATGAAATTTATTCCAACTAAGATATTCAGAGATCAATCATTAAACCTATTATTGCAAAGTGAAGCATTTAGGAAGCACAGAAATTACATTGAGGTTACAGTGTGTAACAGTACTGACTTAGTGACATGTGACTTAGCACAGAATCTATGAACTGGGAGCTTTGTGGTGCTCCTGTAGGTGTTATTTTCTATCTGAGGTTATACTGAGTGTAGCATGATGTAGACTGTTCTGTTTTTTCCTCCTCTTTAGCCTCAGCATGCACTTATTTGCTTTGTTGGCACAGGAAATGACAGAGCTCATGGGTAGAAATGTTCTGTAAACATTTCATACGTAAGGAACAAGTATAGATCTTCTGATTTTGCTGATGATGCCGTGTGTTATATTTGACTCATGTCAGGAGTCACTCTGTAAGAACTACATTTTAAGTCTAATTCAAACGGTCAGCAATAATGGGAAAATGTGTGGGTACTAATTTGGCCTGAATGCAGAGTTAACTCTGAGACTATTCTGAGTGCCCAAAAACCCTGTCAGTCCTGTCAAATGTGAAAGAATAACTTAAGAAGTTAATAAAATCAATTATAGTTTGTTATTCCAACCAAATAAAGACGCTTTCTGAAGCCGTTCTTCAGCAAGACACCAAATGCTGATGTCAGCTGTAACATCTGGATGATGGGAATATGGGTGCATCACATATCTTTACTTCCTTCTTCTTGCAATTTTTTCTTAAAAACACCAGATGCTTATGGGAGAACAGAAAGTTTGCAAATAATCCTTTTAAGAAAAAATTGTCCTTTCTGGCCTGTAATGTTTACACTGTAAACCAGGTAAAGTGCAAATGTTGTTAAATAGTAACTATCCTCTTAACATAAATCATGTCTGAAGTTTTCTACCCCTTTATATTCAATTTTTTGAAGTTAGTTTTCATATCTAAATAACCTGCACAGACAAAAAAGGCATAAAAGAGACTTTCTCCAGCTGGGCCCACGTCCTCATTTTAGGTTTGACAGTGTTTTAGTGGATAAAGGTGAATGTCACGGACATGAATTGAGCTGCGGTTTGGGGAAGGACTTGAAGGGGACTGGCGGCGGCTCCTGAGCCTGGCAGATCCCCAATGATGGATTTTTGTACTAAATAGAAGTGAAAAAGTTAAAGAATTGAACAGGTGAAGGAGGGGGTCACGTAAATTAGAATGAGCAGATTGTAGAACTGGGGGAACATATACAGATAAGAACCAGAAGAAGCATGTTTGGAGGCATTGTCCCGCTCCTAAAATTCAGATACTTTATCTCCAATAAAATGTAAGATCTTTGAGTTTGTATGCTTGCACGTGGTAAAATGCAAAACACTAACACTCGAGCCTGAAAGCAAGGACTGACATCAGAATGTCTGCATTCATTTTCCTATTTACAAAACAAAATCTTAAAGCCAGGACTGCAGCATGTCCAGAATATTTGCCAAAGAAGGTTTTGTGAGATAAATGCTACAGAAAAATTAAGAACAGGTTCCCAGTTTGAAAAAGTATTTTATTCATAATTAATTTTAAATAAAATATTATACTTTAGGTCCTTTAGGTTACATTAAATTTAGATTACGTTAAATAACTGATTTACTAAACTTTTTCTTAACAATTCTACAACAAATGCATTGATGAAATATGTCATGTCATGACTTCCCGCTTCTGTGGAACGCCTCACAAACTTCCACAATCTAAGAACTGTGTGATGAAACGTCGTCTCATTTTGTAAAGTTCCTCTTAAATCACTGTTTAATTTATTTGTAAGAAGAGAGAGGAGGAGGAAACAGAAAAAGCTGAGCCGAATAACTGGAGGAATCACTTCTGCTTTTAAGACCTTAACTATTTCTTCACGCTTCACTCTGGAGAAGAAGGCAGATCAAAGGGGAACAAATCATTTACTCACTGTTCTTCAAGCTTTTTGAAAATGGTAAACTCTAGAAGCCTGTTACTGCTGGTCTGCACAGTCATGGTGGTTGGGGCCATCTCTGGATCAGACGGTAAGATTAAACTTCAGACTCCATGTAAGAGCTTTCAACTGGCTTTTCTCTGTTTAAAATTCACTTTGTAAAATGTCATTTGTGTTCCAAAAAAGATTTGGACATCTGCTGCATAACAGTCAGCAGTAAGAAGATTCAGGAAGTGCATTCGTTTTTTGTTCTTTCAGCTGTAGCCTCGGTGCTGTTTAACAGGCTAAGAGTGAAGATTGAATACAAAAAACAGAAATCAAACATGGGCTTAGATTATGTGCAAATTGTATAGAAAGCCAGCAAGTACAAATTAATACCCATCCAAGTCAAAGGGAAACACAAACATTAGATGCTGCTTAAAAACCCCCATGGAAATATAGCCCAGTAAGAAGTGACACAGGTACAGATACAGGCCTCTGCTCTTACTGTTTAGCATTCTTGAAGAATATAGTGTCTAGAATGAGGACATAGACTGGTGTAAGTAGCTACTTTGTTAATACTTTTATAATGTTTGCAGTAAATTTCTCATTAGTAGAAATACCTACAAGGTGAGGCACAAAATAAACTATTTCATGTCACTTAATGTCTGGTAACGGTTCAAAAGTCAGCTTTTGTTTACTCTTGTTAGCAGTTTTATAACATTTTAAACCCGAATTTCACTTTGAGTTTCCTTCCTGTGGGCGAAATATATTCAGTTTTAAACTTCTCCTAATCAGCTCGTCGCCAGAAGAGACCGTGCTGTGTTGAAGTCACCCGCCAAGATACGAGCGCTGATGTGGTGGGGGAAACATATCGTCAGCAGGCCGCAACACCACCCTGTGTGAAGGCTATAATGTAAGTCAGCACATGTGTCGTCCTACACACAAACATAAACACATTCAATCTGTATAATTTTCTCTCTTTATTTCCAGTTTCAACACAGAATATGGACAGCTTTGTGCTGATCCAAACGCTCAGTGGGTCAAAGATCGTAAGTTACGCTAAAAGAAACACACACACACACACACACACACACACACACACACACACACACACACACACACACAATAAAAGTATTTGTAGAAACAAACTGAAACTCCTGTTTGTCTCTCTTTCCTGTCCAGTCATTGTGAGGATGACGAGGGTATGAAGTACAAAGTGTGAGGTGAAGCATCGCTGCCTGTCGGGTCATCAGTATCTCCTTATCTCAAACTTTTCTTTGAAATGTTTTTGTTACGTTACTCTGTTAATTCTGTCCACATCGCACTGCAGCAATTTCCTAATGTTGTAAACCTGCTCAACATTTGGCAATAAAAACCCTTTCTGATTCTGATTCTGATTTTATTCTTGATGCTACATCTGAGTCTTGTGTGACTTTAAAGTGACGACTAAGGCTGGACATCAATCTGTGCTTAGACGGACCAACTGAGTTCTTTTTTTTTAAGTTTAGTTACATATTTAGTTTCAAATCTTCTTTTATTCTTTATTTTTTGCTTTTATGATTCCATTTATCTGTTTTGCAAAGCTCACTCTGAAAAGTATTTCCAAATAAACTCTGACCACCAGTCATTCAATAAATCTCATATCTTAATAATCTCCCAGAAACCTACAACGCATTTTATTTAAAAATTTTTTTTTTTTTTGTCCCGTTTGGATCTATAGCCATCAGAATTGTTGTCTTAAGGCCAAGAAAGATGCCAAGCGGATTTATTTTACCAAGTGGATCATCATGGCCTTGCCATATTGGTCCATTTGATTGACCTTTATTATAATTATGAATTTATTTTATTTTCAGTTGCTACAAACGGGACAGACATGACTGGGGGATAGGACAGGGGGAAAGAATGAAAGAAAGAGAGGGAGAGAAAGAAAACCAAAGGGGAGAAGAGAGGGTGAGAAGGGGGGGAAGAAAGAAAAAAAAACAAAAACAAAAAAACAAAACACCTGGATCACCTGTATGGAGAAAAAAAAACAGAAGAGAAAGCAAGCTAGTTTATTGTGATGGTGCTTTTTTTTTCCTTTTTTTTCTTATTATGTTGCTCTTTGTTGTTTGCTTTCTATTTTATTTAAAACTTTTAACTAAAACGTGTGCAATCCAAGAAATCAGTACATTTCTTATTTTTATCCATTAATGTCCCTGTGTCGCCTGCAACTTTTAACCCTCTACTACATGACTTTTTAATTTGGGGAAAAAAGTATTTCTCCCTATTTTGGGGGTTGCTTTAGGGTCCCTAATAATATATCATTCATAAAATTGGACAGCAGAGACCTGTTTTCTGTAGGCCTGGGCCACATAAACCAAGCCACAATCAAGCCAGATATGGCATGCCATCACATAGACAGTGCCATCTATGCCAGGCCTGGCCTATATGTGGATGCCAGCACTGCTGACTTGATACCAGATCCTGGCCAGACCTGCTTGCTATGTGGGCACTAACACACACACAGACACAGTTACTTTACCAACTGACCCCTGAGCTCCTAACCGTCACTCCCTAAAAGCTCACTGTCCTCACTTTCTGAGGACAGAAAGTGCACATTCCCTTGGTTTCCTTCCATAAAAGGTATTTACATCCATGTCCTGTAATTATGAGCAGATTGTAAAGGAAAAACATTGACTATGATCATATAAATGCACACATCTCTACACACATATGCAAATGCATTGTATTGTACCGCCTACTGGTGTTGGCCAGAGGGGCCGATGGCGCGATATGGCAGCCTCGCTTCTGTCAGTCTGCCCCAGGGCAGCTGTGGCTACACCTGTAGCTGCCTCCACCAGTGTGTGAATGTGAGAGTGAATGAATAGTGGTATTGTAAAGCGCTTTGGGTGCCTTGAAAAGCGCTATATAAATCCAATCCATTATTAGGGCCCGAGCACTGACAGTGCGAAGGCCCTATTGTAATTGCTCTGTTTATTAGGGCCCGAGCACCGAGAGTGCGAAGGCCCTATTGTATCTGCTCCGTTTCTTATTATTATTATTAGGGCCCGAGCACTGAGAGTGCGAAGGCCCTATTGTATCTGCTCCGTTTCTTATTATTATTAGGGCCCGAGCACTGAGAGTGCGAAGGCCCTATTGTATCTGCTCCGTTTCTTATTATTATTATTATTATTATTATTATTATTATTATTATTATTATTATTATTATTATTATTCACCCCAAACAAGGGCCTTTTTGAGGGCCTAAACATGCTCAAAAACTCATGAAATTTTGCACACATGCCAGGTCTGGTGAAAAATTTTGTATTTTAATGGTTTTACATATGAGCACTGGGAAATGGCTCTACAGCGCCACCTATGCCTTGTTAAATGCAGCCCTACGACCACATCGTTTGAGCTACATGTATGAAATTTGGCACACATGTGTATCATGTCAAGACGAACAAAAAAGTCTGTGGGCCCATTGACGCAAACCCAACAGGAAGTCCGCCATTTGGAAGAGAAGGTGACATTTTGGCTCTAATTTTGCCATTTCCATGCCTCGAACTTTTGCGAACTCCTCCTTGGGGTTTCATTTCATAACCTTCAAATTTGGACAGTGTCAACTACACCCTTGTGCCATGTTAAATTGCGGAGCTTTTGAGTTTTCACAATACTATGAGGCCGTGGCGCCATGGCGAATTTCGATGACTCGCCATGAAAATCTTATTGCCTCTCATTTTGTCATACATTTTCTGACCTTGACCAAAGTGAACACATATGATAAGGCTCCACCCCTGAACATATTTTAAGTGCCATATTTGACATCAAGGACAGCGCCACCTAGTGGGAACAGGAAATGTCATGTTTTACACTTTGGGGTACAGTATTGTGATGGGTGACATCTGCAGCCTCAAATTTCTCCAGGAAAGCCTTAAGGAGTTGGTCTTGGGTTACAGTGAAAACTGTGACTTTTCGCAAAAGGGTGTGACCCCAGCGGCATGGCGAACTTTGATGTCACGCCATGAAGAAACAAATTAGTATAACTCAATGAAATCCAGTCTGATCAGTACCAGACTTTACAGGCATGATGTCAGATCCACCCTGAACAGATTGATGTGCCCATTGTCGGAAATACGCACAGCGCCACCTAGTGGCAACAGGAAATGTCATGGCTTTCATTTTGTTGTACTGATTTTCACAGGTTGATCGTGGCCACCTCAAAAGCGGTGAATATCACCATCAGTCCCTCGTGATGCTTCAGTGCAAAAATTGTGACTTTAAACTGAACGGCGCACCCTGGTGGCAACGATGTTCACCATGAAAGATGAAGTGGCTTTTGAGGGGCTTGGAAAGTTTATAGAGGCTTGAAATTTGGCACACACCTCCAAATGGATGTAGGCTTTGTTGTCATGTGATCATTTTCATTGAATAGTTCGAAATTGCTCCACAGCGCCCCCTACAAAATTTCAAAACAACAGCCCCTGCTCTGTGTTTCATCTATGAGTCTGAAACCTGGTAAGCTTATGGAAAATATCAAGATGTACAAAAAAGTCTCTTGGAGCAATATCCCAAATCCAACAGGAAGTCAGCCATTTTAAAATTAATGTGTAATTTTGGCGATATTTTCCCCTCTTTTCAGGCTTCATACTTTGACGAACTCCTCCAAGGGATTTCATCATATTGAACCATTCTCCAGTGTGTGGAATCTAAAGACGTTTGTGATGTTAAATTGCGAAGCTTTTTACATTCAAGGAAACGGGGTGGTCATGGCAGCACGTGGAGTTTCAATCACTCGCCAAAAAGCAGTAATCTGCTGTCACTCAAAAACACAATGTCCAATCTCTCCCAAACGTCTCAGGTGTGATGAGACTCGAGCTCGGAAGTGTTTGTTATGCCATTTGTACATAATGGTTAGAGCGCCACCTAGTGGAACGACTGACTAATCATGAATGAATGAGTTGAAATGTTAGCTGGTGGTTAAATGCATGAATTCCATCAATGTGACATCAGATCGGACGTGCTGGTTTTAGGTGTTGGGCGTAGCTCGACGCGATGGGGTGCGAGGGCCCTCATAACGCTGCTTGCAGCTTTAATTATTATTATTATTATTATTATTCCGGCAAATGAATTGGCCTTTTGAGGGCCTAAACATGCTCGAAAACTCATGAAATTTTGCACACGCGTCAGGTCTGGTGAAAATTTACGTATTTTAATGTTCTCAGACATGGCCTGGGAAAATTAGCTCAGTAGCGCCACCTAGAAAAATGAAAAACGCGAGCCCCCGGTATGGGTATGACCTACATGTTTGAAAGTCGGTACACCTATATAACGTTGAGAGTCGAACAAAAAAGTCTATTATGGCAATGTCCTAAACCCAACAGGAAGTCCGCCATTTTGGATTGAAGGTGACATTTTGGGTCTGATTTTACCGTTTCCATGCGTTGTACTTTAACGAACTCCTCCTTGGGATTTGGTCCTATAAGCTTCAAATTTGGACAGTGTCAACTACACCCTTGTGCCATGTTAAATTGCGGAGCTTTTGAGTTTTCACAATAGTATGAGGCCGTGGCGCCATGGCGAATTTTGATGACTCGCCATGAAAATCTTATTGCCTCTCATTCTGTCATACATGTTCCGATCTGGACCAAAGAGCACACATATGATAAGGCTCCACCCCTGAACATATTTCAACTGCCATATTTGACATCAAGGACAGCGCCACCTAGTGGGAACAGGAAATGTCATGTTTTACACTTTGGGGTACAGTATAGTGATGGGTGACATCTGCAGCCTCAAATTTCTCCAGGAAAGCCTTAAGGAGTTGGTCTTGGGTTACAGTGAAAACTGTGACTTTTCGCAAAAGGGTGTGACCCCAGCGGCGTGGCGAACTTTGATGTCACGCCATGAAGAAACAAATTAGTATAACTCAATGAAATCCAGTCTGATCAGTACCAGACTTTACAGGCATGATGTCAGACCCGCCCTGAACAGATTGATGTGCCCATTGTCGGAAATACGGACAGCGCCACCTAGTGGCAACAGGAAATGTCATGGGTTTAATTTTGTTGTACTGATTTTCACAGGTTCATCGTGGCCACCTCAAAAGCGGTGAATACCACCATCAGTCCCTCGTGATGCTTCACTGCAAAAATTGTGACTTTAAACTGAACGGCGCACCCTGGTGGCAACGCTGTTCAACATGAAAGATGAAGTGGCTTTTGAGGGTCTTGGCAAGTTTATAGAGGCTTGAAATTTGGCACACACCTCCAAATGGATGACGGCTTTGTTGGCATGTGATCATTTTCATTGAATAGTGCGAAATGGCTCCACAGCGCCCCCTACAAACATTCAAAACCACAGCCCCTGCTCTGTGTTTTATGTATGAGTCTGAAACCTGGTAAGCTTATAG